TTGTGTGTGTGCCTATGTTAGAAGAGCTTGGGTCTTATTTAAATCTTTGATTTAGCAGACAGCTGCTCTGTTTTAACTTAGCATACAGGTTCTTTCCTACTTTTATGCCCATGAGTCCAATGACAGTTTAATTTTCAGAGCCTTTGCAGTATCATTTTGGACTGCTTGGTTTTATTTAGTACCGCCACAGGGGTTCCCACTGGGCCCTGCTGAGACTGCCTGATGGAGTGGAAGGTGTTTTCCTAGGCCAAGCCACCAAGTGTCTCTTGGTAGGGAAGAGGGGAGTCTCAGGCCCACAGGGATAAAGGCTTCGAGGATTGACACTCTTGTTTTTGTTTTTAAGTTTTTATTGTGAACTGAGTGATAATTTACATGAGAGAACATCGGCTTCACACCATCATTTCATTGCAATGCTTACAATCTCCTCTGTGCATGAACATTCAACAGTATTTGCTTCCATTCCCTCTGGTTTTTTTTGGGGGGGGGGCGGTGCACAAAACCACTCAGGAATATATAATACGTTATAAACAACTAAAGGGCACATTCTGCAAGCCTTCTTCCTGGCTGCCAGCTACAGCCTTTCTCTTTCCATGAGTCTAGAGTCCTCAGCTGCTCCTTCTCTCCATGTCATCATCTCTGACTCCATCTTTGGATTGGGTCCCGCATTCCACTCGTGCTATTCTCCCTTGATGGTCCTAGGGTCCTCTGTTTCTAGACTGTAAGCTTAACTACTCCTCCATTTTTGTTACAAAACTTCTACCTTGTGACAGTCTCAATTAGTCAGGATAACAATTACTGCTGAATCATAAGAATCTTATCCCCATCTCCTTTCACCAGACCCATCTAGGCAAAGTCTCTACCTTCCACCACACACTCTTATTTTGGCAATGTCTCACTTGCCAGTTCTGCCTTCCCATCCTAGTGGCACCTATTGAAGGAAGTTTCAGGCCTACAGAGAGAGGCCTTCTGAGCAGACCACTCTGGTCAATTCTGCCCTTGTTGTTAGGTCTGTTGAGTCAGTTCCAACTCATAGTGACCCTATATGCACAACAGATCAAAACACTGCCTGATCCTGTACCATTGTTACTTGAGCCCATTGCTGCTGCCACTGTGCCAAACCATCTCCTTGGGGGTCTTCCTCTTTTTCGATGACCCTCAACTTTACCAAGCATGATGTCCTTTTCCTGGGACTGGTCCCTCCCGATCACATGGCCAAAGTACATGAGACAACGTCTTGCCATGCTCATGTCTAAGGAGCATTCTGGCTGCACTTCTTCCAACACAGATTTGTTTGTTCTTCTGGTAGTCCATGGTACTTTGAATATTCTTCACCAACAATATAATTCAAATGCATCAATTCTTTTTCACTCTTCCTTATTCATTGTCCAGCTTTCGCATATGTATGAGTGATTGAAAATACCATGACTTGGGTCTGGCGCACCTTAGTCCTCAAAGTGATATCTTTGCTCTTGAACACTTTAAAGAGGCCTTTTGCAGCAGATTTGCTGCTTATATGAGCATTGATTGAGAATCCAAGTAAAATTAAATCCTTGACAACTTCAATTTTTTCTCATTTTATCATGATGTTATTCATTGGTCCAGTTGTAAGTTTCGCTTTCTTTATATTGGGTGGCAATCCATACTGAAGTCTGTATTTTTTGATCTTCATAAAAGCAAGTGCTTCAGGTTGTTTTCACTTTCACATGCATATGAGGTGATAGAAAATACTGTGGCTGAGATCAGCTGCACCTTCATCCTCAAACTGACATCTTTGCTCATGAACACTTTAGATAGATCTTGTGCAGCAGATTTGCCTAATGATGTATGTTATTTGATTTCTTGACTGCTGCTTCCATAAGTGTTGATAGTGGATCCAAGCAAAGTGAAGTCTTTGACAACTTCAGTCGTTTCTTCATTATATGGATGTAGTTTATTGGTCCAGTGGTAAGGATTTTTGTTTCCTTTACACTGAGGTGCAACCCAAACACAACGCTGTGGTCTTTGATCTTCGTCAGTATGTATTTAAGTCTCCTTGGCTTTCAGCAGGCAAGGTTGTGTCATCTGCATTTTGCATGTTGTTAATGACTCTTCCTTCAATCCTGATGCCACATTCTTCATATAATTTGCTCAGCATTCAGATTGAGTAAGTATGATGAAAGGATACAACCCTGATAGACATCGTTCCTTATTTTAAATCATTTATTGTCTCTTTGCTCTGTTCTAAAAACTACACCTTGGTCTATGTACAGGTTCCTCATGATCACAATTAAGTGTTCTGGAATACCCATTCTTCACAATGCTACCCTTAGCTTGTCATGAATAATGCAATCAAAAGCTTTTGTTTTCAGCCAAGATTCATCTGACATCAGCTGTGATGTCCCTAGTTCTATGTCCTCTTTCAATTCAGCTTGAGTTTCTGGCATTCCCTGTGGATATACTGTTTTTGAATTATCTTCAGCAAAATTTTACTTGCAGTGTTAATGCTATTGTTTGATGATTTCCTCATTCTGTTCTGTCACCTCTCTGTGGAATGGGCACAAATATGAAGCTCTTTTAAATTAGTTGGCCAGGTACCTGTCTTCCAAATTTCTTGGCAGTGGGGATGCTACCTTTCCCCGCAGTCTCAGAAACTTAAACTCCCTCTTGAAAACTTGTAAGCCAGTCAATTGTGCCTTTATAGTCCCCCCCTCCCTATTTTAGCTAGCCAATGTCTAAGTTGCCTGTCCCTATTAACCCTGTGTACAGTAGGGATAGGATTGATACCTGATGTGAAGACTCCTTCCCACTCCGTTGGTATTTTGAGCTACTGCATCCATAAGTATAGGTCAAGTTCGTCAAATTGTAGCAATTTATACTTGTTTCCTTTATCAAAAATTTTTTCTTTTTATCTTCCTCTAGTCAAGTTCTAAGGAGCTCTGGTAGTGTAGTGGTTATGAATCGGGCTGCAAACCGCCAGGTGAGCGGTTCGAAACAACCAACTGTTCCTCGGGAGAAAGATGAGGCTCTCTGCTCCCGTAAAGATTTACAGCCTCGGAAACCCTGTACAGGGTCGCTATGAGTCAGAACCGACTCCATGACACACAGCCACCACCAGTCAAGTTCTGATCATTAAGCCATCGAGGCTAGGTCAAATGGGTACTATCTATAAGTTTGGGTGTTCTTGTGTGCCTCCCCTTACTTCATATCAGCTGGACGCTTCACTCTTAGTTCTAGCCCTCTGTGGCTATGTCCTTGTCCATGGGCCATTTCATTTTTGACGACTTCCAATTTTTCTAGATTCATACTTCCATACATTCCATGTCCTGATTATTAATGGATGTTTACCTTTGTTTCTTGTCATTTTGAGTTGCAACCCATCAGCAAATGAAGGTTCCAAAAGCATTACTCCATTCGCGTCATCAGTTTCCTTTACACTGAGGAGGCAGCTCTTCCCCAGTCATATTTTGAGTACCTTCCAACCCAAGGAAACTCATTTTCTGGCACTATGTCTGACAATATTCTGGTGCTTTTCATCAAGTTTAAATATTTAGTATTCTGGTACTATCTGACAGTGCTCCACTGCTCTTCATTAGGTTTTTAATGACTAAATATTTGGAAGTCGTCCATCTCTCCTTATTCTTTGTCTGTCTTAGTCTGGAAGCTCACCTAAAATTGGTCTACCATGGGTAAACCTGCTGCTATTTAATGTACCGGTGAATTCTTCAATTTTTTCATCATTGAACTTAGTGACTAGTGTATAAATTTGAATAATGTTTATATTAACTGATATGCATTGTAGGCATGTAGATATTTTCCTATCAGACAGCACTGTACTTCAAGATACAGCTTGAGTTGTGCTTTTTCACAGTGAATGATGCCATTTCGCTTCAATTTGCTATTCCTGGCATAATAAGTCATATGATTGTCTGATTCAAAATGGCCACTACTAGTCCATTTCAGCTCACTAGTGCCTAGGATATAGGGTTCTTTATACAATCCATTCCATTTTTGATGACTTCCAGTTATCTAGAATCATACTTTGTACGATCTCTGTTCAGATTATTAATAAATGTTTGCAGCTGGTTCTTTTCATTTTGAATAACATTCAAATCAGCAAATGAATGTCCTGAAAGGTTTGCTTCATCCGCTACTTTAAGAAGACAGCTTTGGACTCATATTTTGAGTTCCTTCCAACCTGAGGGTCTTATCGTCTGGCATTAAATCAGGCAATATTTCATTGGTATTCATAGGATTTTCAGTGGCTTCTTGTTGTTAAGTGCCGTTGTGTTGGTTCCAACTCATAGCTACCCTGTATAGGGTTTGAACCACCAACCCTGTGGTTAGCAGACCAGTGTTTATCATACAGCACCACACCAGGACCCTAGAAATGGACCGATTCCTCCTTCTAAAGTCTGTCTTAGTCTGGAAACTCCGCTGAAACTTGCCCACCATATGCGACCCTAATGGTATTTGAAACACCAGTGGTACCATTTTCAATCTTATAGCAACAGTATGACAAACTGCCGGATGTTTGGAGTTTCTGCTCATAGCTTGGTATATTTCAGTTAGACGGAGAGCACCTCTGGAAACAGCACTGCAGACGGATCTGCTGCTGTCAGGTTTCCTGATTTTGTCAGAGAGACTCTATAAGTTCCAGGGAGGACTGAGCCTACCTGAGTTGCCTTCTGTTTCTAGCTTGGAGGTTGGGAAATACTGGATCTGGATTAGCATCTATTGGGTACTGTTACGTTGTTTCTCAGTCCTGGAGTTCCAAACCTGGTTGTCCTTTTCTTGCCACTTCTCCGAGTTCTCCTTTTGTTTTCTCTTCAGTTATTCCATGGGTTTGTACTTGCACTTAGCCAGGAAGAACAGGGAGGAACAGTTCTATGCCATCTGTCCAGAACACACCAGAACTATTTTGTACCTGTATTGTTTTATGTCAGTCATCATTGAATGTCTTCACTACTGTGCTTTGCTTGCTCTGGGATTCAGATGATTGATTCTTCTGTTTATTCCAACAGGATTGAAACTCAAAAATGACTGTGAAAATGATCAGACTATATCTACTTCTGAGTTAGAAATGCCAGCAACGGGAAGCAAAGTATCAAAAAAAGTCAGAGTGGACATTCCCCAAAAAACATCGGGCACAGGAAATCCTGGTGGAACGTTCAGGGTGAGGAAACGCCATCAAAATTTTCCAGGGAAGAAGAAAAAGAAACATTCAGCGTGTAAACAAGAGCTGCCAAGATGTACAGACCTTCATAGGAAAGGTCATTCAGAGGAGAAACCTTTTAAATGTCAGGAATGTGGGAAAAGCTTCAGAGTGAGTTCTGACCTAATTAAGCACCAGAGAATTCACACTGAAGAGAAACCCTATAAATGTCAACAATGTGATAGAAGGTTTAGATGGAGCTCAGATCTTAATAAGCACCTAATGACACACCAAGGAATAAAACCACATAAATGTTCATGGTGTGGAAAAAGCTTCAGCCATAACACAAATCTACATACACACCAAAGAATTCACACAGGAGAAAAACCCTTTAAATGTCATGAATGTGGGAAAAGGTTTAGTCAGAACTCCCATCTTATTAAACACCAGAGAACCCACACAGGTGAGCAGCCTTATACTTGTAGCATATGCAAGAGAAACTTTAGCAGACGGTCAAGCCTTCTTAGACACCAGAAACTCCACAGGGCAAGGGAAACTTGTCCCGTGCCCCCAGTATAAATAAAGTCACTATATGGAACTTGGCCCTAGAGAAGGTGGAAGAATATAAAATCACCAATGGTAGGAATTTTATCAGTGAGGAATTTGAGAGGTACCGATGCCATGCTGCACAGAAAGAAATCCAAGTTTTCGATCTTGTCCATTGCTTAATCTTCAGTACCTAGCACAACTTGCTATATAGCAGTGTTTTATAAATAAAAGAATGAAACATCAAGTGCTTATCTAGCTATGTTTTATCTGTCTATCTTTGTCTACTAGTAGCTTACCTGTGTTCAGTGGTGTACATTTTCCAGATATCAGGTGCTTGCCAGATATTTGAGAGCTGGGAGTCCCAGTCTCTTTACTACTAGTAGAAATGGAAGAGAAGTATACAGGTCTCCAAAAGGAGAGAAGTAGTTAGTTGGGGAATACTTTTATGGGTATCGTTCTGTATGAACGTTCAATTCTGGTGTGTAGGGAGCTTTATCCTGGTACAAGAAAAGAAGATTTGATGTGTGAACCAGAAGAAGCATTGTCACTGGAGTTACCATTCCCCTCAGCACCTGCTGCTACACTGTCTTTTTGTCTAGCAGTTCTAAACAGCAAGGGCCTGAATGCCAGCAAAGGCCTATGGGGCTTGCAAGCACAAGGTCTTTCTTCCTGCTGACCCTTTCAACACTGGCAAAGTCTTTCTCTTTAGAAGGTACCTTGAAAATGTGCCTTGATCCATGGGTACCAAGCTGGTACTCAGAAAAGGCTATTTAGGAGTTGTTAAGACGTATGTAAAGAAAAATGTGTTCTTTACCTAAGCAAGTTTGGGATCAGTGTATTAGATGAAGTCGGTGTTTCTTTACTGGACCACTTCTGAGAGCATTTATGTGTAAGTGCTTAATGCAAAACTGAGGGAGTGAAGGGAGAGGGATATGGACATACAGTCTGTTATTTACCACAGGGGCCTTTTAGGTGAGTGTGTGTGTGTGTGTGTGAGTGAGAAACACCTAGCATCTCAGAATGGTGTTGTACAACACCAGTTTGGGAAACAATGACCTAGAAACCTGAGACCCAGAGAGGTTACCTGACTTGGTAGAAAAAAATCAGGTCCCACATCCCTGGTCTCATAATTTAAGGCCCTTTCCTCCACACCACATGGTCTTTGGAGTGGGAGGAGACGCATCATCATTAGGCATATTAGGTAGGTGACATGAATGAACCTATAACTGGGTATTAGTAGCAGAGCGAATGTTGGGTGCCATCAAGTCAATTTCCACTCACTGTGACCCAAAGGAACAGTAGAACTGTGCCTCAGGGTTTCCTAGGCTGTTCTTTTTATGGAAGCAGACTGCCAAATCATCTCCAAGGAGCAGTTGTTGGGTTCAAACCTTAGCAGCTAAGCCCAGAACCACTGTGCGACCAGGACACCTTAGAGAGGAAGAATAAACCCACTGCTGCCGGATCAATTGTGACTCACAGCAAACCTATAGGACAGAGTAGGATTGCCCATAGAGTTTCTAAGGCTATAAATCTACAGAAGTAGACCACCACATCTTTCTCCTGCAGAGCAGCAGGGGATTTCAAACTGCTGAGCTGATGAGTAGCCAAGTGCTTTAGCCACTTTGCATCAGGGCTCCAGAACAAGAATTGAACCTATATATTCCCTTTCCACCAACACATCTGTTAGTTTTTCGTACTGTGGTGCCTTGTGTGTTGCTATGATGCTGGAAGCTATGCTCCTGATATTATAAATACCAGCAGGATCACCCATGGTGGACAGGTTTCAGTGGAGCTTCAAACTAAGATTAGGAAGGAGAGACAAATTCTGAATGAATAGCAGCTGAAAACATGAAGCAAAGCATCATCAGATATAGTGCTGAAAGATGAGCCCCTTAGGTTAGAAGGCACTCAAAATACGGCTTGTAAAGAGGTACCTCCTCAAAGTAGAGTTGACCTTCATGACATGAATGAAGGAAAGCTTGTGGGACCTTCATTTGTCAATGGGGCATAACTAAAAATGGAAGGAAACAGTTTTCAAATAAAAATAGGGGCATGTTCTTGTTGTTAGGTGCCAGTGAGTTGGTACCAACTCATAGTGGCCCTATGCACAACAGAATGAAACACTACTTGGTCCTGGGCCAACCTCACAAATGTTGTTAAGCTTGAGCACATTGATACTACCAATTTGCCAGTCCATCTCCCTGGGGGACTTCCTCTTTTTCTCTGACCCTCCACCTTATCAAACATGATATCCTTCTCCTGACAATATGTCCAAAGTATGAGAGATGAAGTTTGGCCATCCTGGCCTCCAGGGAGCACTCTGGCTGCACTTCTTCCAAAACGGATCTGTTGATTCTTTTGGCAGCCCATGGCACTTTCAATATTTTCCAACACCATAACTCAAAAGCATCAATTCTTCTATGGTCTTCCTTATTCACCATCCAGCTTTCACATGCATATGAGGTTATTGAAAA